TCTCTGGTGGATCCTCTCACCCCCCACACCTTTGGCCTGTGCCCCAGCTCTTGTATGCATAAATAAATAAATCTTTTAAAAAAAAAAAAAAAGAGATAAGGGGCTTTCTCTCTCCAATGAGCTTCTCTAACTTTTCCCCAGTGGTTCTCCAATAGGTTGTGTGCTCTGCTCAGGCAATTCATCATAAAGGTAAAGAGAAGGAATCAGAGTGGAACAAACTCCAAAGGAGTGGTGGTTCTCACACCAAGATTCTCCCTTCTCAGGGAGCAGTCCTGAAACCTGGCAATTGGGCCCTGCACCCCGACTGTGGCTGATGGGTCCATCTGTAGACCTTGAGCAAATCTGGGCCAAGCACATATTCCTCCAGCTGGAGCTTTGTGCCATTGGATAGTCAGACCCCAAGCTGGGTAACTGACAATCGAACTGCGTAGTGGCTGTGACAGGGGCGGGGGCCCAAGTCCTCCTATTGTGGGGTCTCCAGACACATCTCAGTTTTGAGACTTGGTTTTGTAACATCTTTTTTGAGTCCAGGTGATACCCCTATATTAAAAAATAATCCCCTTTTGCTTAAGTCAGCCAGAGCTGGCGTCTGCTCTTTGAAAACAAATAAACCTCTTCATTATATGCATGGAATAACCATTTTCAACTCTTCTGCATTGCTTTCTTCATAGATTATAATGCATAAAGAAAAACTGGCTCCTTTCATCAGTATCCTGGACAAATTCTTTTAATAAAAAACATTTTTTATAATTAGTAGAAAGCAGTGATTTTCCATATTCCATGAATGTAAAAGAAATGTTGGTAGGGAAAGAGAAGAAGCGTTACTTAAGAAAGGGTCATCATAAGTTCCAAAATTCATTCTTGGAGGGATTTTTCTGTTTCCATTAAAAGTGGGAACAGTCAGGGTCTCTCTAGTGATGCAGGGGTTAAAGACAGTGCTATCAAGCTACTGCCAGCCACTGCAGCATGAGTTCGATACCCACTGGCCAGGAAGCTACCCACGTGGTGCAGCAGACCTCTTCTGCCTCACCTGCTTTGTTTCAGTAGATCTGCCTGTTCTGCTCCCCACTCTTTCTGGTGAATCCTCTCATATACACACCTGCACCTCTGGCTTACACCCCGTTTTTGTATGCATAAATAAATAAATCTTTTTTTAAAAAAATGGGAAAAATCCAGCAATTTGGGAGTAGGCCTCAGAGGTGAAGCCCTCGAATGTAGGTTGGGAAAGCCCCAATTCCAATTCAAGTATCTCCCACCTCGCTTGACCTTGGGGAGGCAGTCTGGGCCACAGGTTCAAATGCCCTTCTCAGTCTGGGTGTCCTCACTGGCTGGCAATACCTCCCGTACCTGTCCCTGCAGGTACATTGCCTGATGTCGCTGCCTAGGATGGTCAGATTCTGAGTGATTCCAGCCACATCTGAACCCTGGCTCTGCAAGAAACTTGAGCAAGCTACTTCAACTCTTGGAGCCTCATTATCCTCATCTTTAAAAGGGGGAGTAGTAATTTAAGCCACAGGGTTTTTATAGCAATTAAATAAAAATATAAGGCACTTCGAAAAGTACCTACCAATAAGTAAGTGCTCAAAAGAGGTAGCTGCTGTTGTTCTATTATTGTCTAGCACCACTCCAGATAAGATCGTTAGCTAGAGAGAGTGTGATAGGAAAGGCGTTCTAGAAGCAAGACTTAAAGAAGTTTTTTGAAAAACGGTGTATTTTTATGAAGGATCTGTTATTATCCTCTAGGACTAATTAGAAAAATGATGAAACACTTAACACTTGCCTCCTCTGATAAATCCTAAGTAGGGTTATTAGGTGGATCAGCAGGAAAAGAGGTAGAAGTGATTTTCTGAAAAACTATGTAGTAGACTAAGGGCATTTTTGACACTTGAACCACCAAAAGTTAAGTATTCTTGTCATGGAGTATGGAGACCAAGATGAGGTTAAAGTGGTAATTAATGACCTAAAAGGATGAGATAAAAAGGTACTCAATTTGAAGTCAGACATTTTTATTTCTCTTATTATCATTCTATATTGTTGCCTCTTGTTTTATCTCATAATTAAGAACTGGTAGTTATAGTGACAAAGAGTTATGTTTCTGTAGAAAATGGTTCATTTCTATTTCATTCCAATAATTCATGTGCTAGATAATTCCAAATTTTTTGGGCAACTGCACCAATCACCTGGTAAAGGCTGCTATGTCCGATATTTTATCATTTTTTTTCACTTCATGGATTATTTCATTTCATTAGTTCATTTAATGCAAACAACTCTATATGGCAGGTATTGCTACCCTCATTTTACAAGTAGAGACATAAGAACTTGCTTCAATTTATGTCGCTGGGCAATAATTATGAGCTAGCATTTTGTTGAGAGCTTTCCATGCGCTAAGCACTGTAGAAAACATTTTTTTCAAAAATAACCCCTTTTCATCTTTTTAGCAACATATTGTTATTGTTCTCCTGTTTTTTACAGAAGAGGAAACAGACTTACAGAGGCACAGAAATTTATCAACTTCAATGAGGGAGTCATGGGCTGCATTTGAACTTGGCTCTTGGGACACTTGATGTCTGTGCTGTAGTAAAGCAAGATCTGAGCCCAGATCCTCAAGAAGGGGGTACCCTTTTCCCCAACTCCTGTGTGCCTTTTATGTCTCAGCAGGAAGGATCTGCCTGTCTACTCTTGGTTCAATATACTATTTGCCTGGTGAAGGCAAACTTCTCACTTGCCTGTTTTCAAAACAAAAACATTTTCAGAGTATTTGTGAGCAGTTCATTCTGTTACTCAGAGGGCCTGGCAGGGCTCTGCAAAGTCTGGACAATGGTTGTGCAAAGTTAAGGGTACTTAGAAAGAAGCCTAGGGTTTCCACAGCCAAGATTCCCTGCAGAGGCCCCTGCACACCGTCTTACCCCACCTCCCCCTCCCAGCAACTTCAACTAGAGCCAATCAGAGAGCTCGGGTAGATCAGATCGGGCCCCCAAGGAAAACTGCTGAGAACTGTCTTTTCAGTTAACAGAAATCTTCAGTAGAGGAATTGGAGGTGTGAGGCTTATTACAGTTTGCAGCCAGGACCGTAACAGTAACGACGCTGGCAAGGCCAGGCTAAAAGCTCAGGCTCTGGCAGTGTTAATAGTACCTCCCACCAGATACCCCCGCCTTCTTCTGTATTTTCTTTTATCTTGCTTATTATTGTGTGTCCTTATTCCCTTTGTGCCAAAACTAGTCTTGCGTCCCCTTCAACAAAGGGAGCATTTTTATTTTCTTAGTGGCATAGAAATCTAAATGAAACAGCGGGGCTCGCAAGTCAGAAGCAAACGTGGTTTGCCTCCAGGGCTGGTGCAGTGCTGTCGGTGGGCACTGGTGTGGTTCTGAGCCTCTGAGACCACAGCAGAAGCCCACCTGTCACTCTGGCTGCCTCATGCTCACACAGACCCACCAGGGAGCTGGCTGCATGGCGGGGAGGGACCCCAGCATTGAGCTGGCTCCCGGGAGAGGCTCTGTGCTGGAGATCTCCCTCCTGCAGATCCTGAAAGCTGGATCCAAGCAATACGCATAGCTCATGAGTGGAATAAAGAGGCAATTGTTGTTTTATTTTTTTTTTTTATCTGTCTGGCAGAAAAGTCCTTTGATCTAAAGACCCAGATCCAGATGTCAACCACAGCTGAGGACACCTGTTATAGCCCAATACAATGCTCAGAACAAGGAAGCCAGTCACAAAGATGAACAGAACTTTTCAGCTCTTCTTCCATCCCATCTGTTTGTACTCCTGGAAATGTAACTGGGGGAGGGAGGAGGTGTGCCTTTCTGGACTGGGCGCTGTGTAGTTTTCTGGGACATTGAAACAGAGTTAGGATTTCTCCAGGATCCTAAAAAGCCACCCCTTGCCACACAGCCTGCCCAGCAGCAGAAGCAAAGCAGTATAGATTAGAGGGGTGCTGGCAGGCTAATGGCAGGGCTCTCCCCAGAACTCTGACACACATACACCCACTCACTCTCGTCCCCTCCCCATGGGGTCCCTTGCTAATGAGAACAGATTTATAAGGCTGCTCCTGAGAGAAAGCTGCTCAGCTGTCAACCAGGCTTCCCCCAGATTCTCATGGGGCCTCCAGTTTCCAGAGCCAAGAGGCAGGTTTGACTCACTGTATACACTACACTAGGAGTTCTGAGGAGGGACAGATGCTGTGCAGGGTCCCTGGGACACAAAGAGGACCGGGCCAGCCCCCTTAGGGGAACTCACAGTGGGGGGAGCCAGACACTCACACGAATAACTTCAGACCAGCTGCAGCTGCCTACCTGCGCCAGGCAGGCTGACACCCCGAGAGGCGAGGAGGGGCTCCCAGACCATGAAGGAGTTCCTCAAGATGACCCCACGTCAGCCAGCCCCTCTCAAGCATTCACTATGCCGAGCTCCGAGAGTGCAACTTGTCCTTCAAGAAACTGGGAAGAGGTTTCACATCTGTCCCCACAGCTCACTAAAGCCAGAAGAATGTATCAGAAAGAGACCTGGTATAAATCATTTCAAACCTTTTGCATCGATTCAGGCGGATGAGCCTGTTCCCACCAAAACGCAGTCAGCCTGCTTGAGACGATGGGGTCAAAGCAGACTGGGTTCCCCGTGACGCTCCCCATTTCTCAAGAAACAAAAGGCCAGGACCAGGCCCTCCCTGCTTCCTTCTACTCCCGTCACACAACCACATAACAGACAGGCTCCTCCCTGGGCTGGCTGGGGCCCATGGGGAGGCTTCTGAAAACAGAGGTTGCGCTTTTGGGGTGGGGAAAAGAGAGATGATTGATGGCTGCGTATGCATTTCCCCAGGAGGGGCAGGCCTCCAGGGGCCCCCCCAAGGGCGGAGGGTGCAGGGTTCTCTGGAAGGCAGGCCACCAGCCGAGCTGACAGGCCAGCGCCAGTCAGCAGGAGACCCTCCTCCCCCACTCCCAGCCCTGCCTGCCCCCCAAACCTCACCTGTTCAGTGTAGACAGGCAGTTGCCCCCGGATCACTCACCTGCCACAGCCTTCTTCCACCTGAGGTCAATTCGTTTCTTTCCCATTTTCAACTTTGCAGAAACGTGGCTCCCCCCAAGCATGTCAGGGAAGCACCACTTTCCTGGCAGAGGCTCTCTTATTTTACTGTCACAGCCACTTGGGGGTGTGTAGGGCGGCCCCTGGGCAGCTTGTTATCACCATTCAGCCCGGAAAGGGAGGCATGAGGTTAAAAAAATTAGATTAAAACACAACAAAGTCAGGTAAAATAATAGAAAACCTCACAGATGCTGGACTAGGACCCAGGTCCTCCGGTCCCAGCCTTTCGTGCTTCCCACACCTCCCCACGGGGCTTAGCCTCTGGCTGCAGGAATTTGCATGATTTTTTCTGAGGCAGGTAGAAGTGGCAGGAGTTCATGCCTCCTGGGTGATGCTCTGAGGGATAAATGTCCCTTTCTGCCCTCCAAGGCGTGTTCCCACAGCCGCTCAGAAGTTCCAGCGGTGCGGAGCCGCACTGGCCACAGCAAGCAGCCCTCAGCCACTCACTCCTTACTGTCCTTTCTCTCTCACCAAGCATTCCAGAACCACCTCCCTAAGAAATTACTTGCACTGGGTTGGCTTGGAGAGGGCGGGGGGTTCAAACTTGTTGGGGATCATGTCCCCAACAAGAATATGTCAAAGTCCCAAGCCCCAGGACCTGAGACTATGACGTTATTTGAAGATAGGGTGACTGCAGATGTGACTGCATTAGTTAATACGGGGTCCTACTCGAGGAGGGTGGCCCCAATATGAGGGGTGTCCCTATAGGAAGAGGGGAGAGATACCCACTTGTATGACCAGAGGAGAGAGATCAGAGCCATACATCTGCAAGCCAAATATCACCAACACTGGATCCTGCAGAGGTCAGGAAAGATGGTCCCCTAAAGGCATCAGGGGAGCCGGGCCCTGCTGTCACCTTGATTTCAGACACCCCACCTCCGGGCGGGTAGCAGTGCATGTCTGCTGTTGAAGGTGCTCGGTCTGTGGTGTTTTTTTTTGGTTGGGCTTCCTAGACAACTGACCGGGACCTACTGCGAGAGTTGGGGGGAGGCTAGACCCGAATATGGGGATTCGTGGTTGTGCCTGTGAAGCTCCCAGGACATGTGGTCCCCCTGAGGTGGCCAGCAGCTCTGCCCACTAAGAGTGAGGACAGATGCTGCCAGGCTGAACAGACCCTGAGCTGCAAAGCCAGCTGCGGCCGAGGAAGCAGGGATTCTGTGGCCGAGGAAGCAGGGATTCTGTCTGCGCCCACCCCCACCTCCAGCCCCCCTTAAACCTAATACCACAATCCCTTACTGATATTAAAAACTGACAAGGAATTTTGCCACCGGCACTAGCATTTTAATATTGAAAGGTTGTGAAATCTAATAAGAGCTACAAGGAGGTTGATGGGGATGGCATTATATTTTTTTTCTTCCTTCGAGCTTCAATAGAACTGGGATTCAATAAGCAAATGTGACAGAATGTGTAATTTCCCCTTGATCTGCCGTGGTCAGGCATTTCCTGTTTAATAACCTTAAACCAGCAGCCCCCCCTTCCTGTCCCCAGTGCCCCCCCATCTCTCCTCTCCATCTTATCAGAATAATCCTTCATTGGAACGTAGTTCAGACTGGCACTTTGGTGGCACCTTATCACCGCTTGAAGACACAAAGGGAACAAGCTGAAATATTATTTTTCCCCTTTGTGGAAAGGTGTTAATGAGATCTTCCTGCCATCACCCTGCCCGAGACAGTGGGAGTTCCCTGATCCCAGGCTTTCTGGTCCAATCCCAGCTTTAAAATCTGTCCATAAAACAGGGTGATCCTGGCCCACCCTCTGCCCCAGATAAGGGGAGGCCAAAATAGAAAATTTCTAGCTGGAAAGGTCCAAGGAAAGGGAGGAGCCCCCAAAAGGCCTGGAGGCAGGGCTCTAACTGTCCCTAGTACTGGACAAGGGAACAGAACCCCTGCCAGGACATGCCAGGGCAGGAGGGCGGGGGAGCCTCTGGGAGGGGTTTGGGTAGACTGACAAGCAAAAACAAGGTGCATCCTGGGGAGGGGTCCTGCCATGTGCGTAGCCACCCACCCCCAATATCTGAGTCAGGTCTCCTGCTTTCTGACCAGCTGAGACCATGCAGGGCCAGAATGAAATCCTTGGTTCTTGTTTCTGTTTTCTCTGGAGTGAGCCAAAAAAGTGCTTTGCTAGTCCTCAGGAAAGAGATTTGAAGGCTGTGAAATGAAAGTGTCACCATCCATCTGTTAGGGACTAAGCTGTGCCCCCCCAAATTCATCTGTCAAAACTCTGACCTCCCATTGTGGCTCTATTTGGAGAGAGAGCCTTGCAGGAGATGGATGTGTTTAAATGAGGACATAAGGATGGGACCCTGTGTCACCAGGCTGACTGGTGGCCTTGTAAGCAGACACCAGAGACTTGCTCACAAAGTCAAGGCCATGTGAGGACACAGGGAGATAGCAGCCAGCTGCAAGCCAAGGCCTCTGGAAAAACCAAACTTTGACAGTAGATATCAGGCCTCCAATACTATGAGAAAAATTCTGTTATTTCAGCCACCCAATCTGTGGTATTTTCTTATGGCAATCCTAGCAGGCAATGATACATCCATCATTCTTATTCCAATTCCCTCACTGAAGCCCAGAGAGGGGAAGCTATTTGTTCAAAGTCACATTGCTCATGGTAGAATCAGAATTGAAAATCCAGGGCACATTTTTACTTTCTCAAGAAGTTTCCATACTGTTTTGCAAAAAGACTACATCAACTTGCATTCCCACCAATAGTGGATGAGAGTTCCTTTTTCACCACAACCTTGTCAACATTTGTTGATTTCCAGCAATATTTCTATTAGGTACTTATCTGAAAATTCTAATACAAAATGATTTATGTACACCTGTGTACATAGCAGCACTCACTGTCCACAATTACCAAGTCATGGAGCCAACTAAGTGCAGTTCAACAGACGAATGGATATCCAATGGAATACTACACAGCTGGGAAAAAGATGGAATAATGACTGTTGGGACAAAATGCATAGACTGAGAGGTAATTATCTTAAGTGAAATAAGTCAAAAAGTGAAAGATAGATATCAGATGGTTTCACTCACCTGTGGAATATATATAATCCAAAACCCATAGACAGGAAAAGTATGGTAGGAACAAATCTTGAACTTAGTGAAAGAATTTAATGATTACCAGAGGAAATCAAAGGAGAGAGGTGGGAATGGGGGAGGGAGGAGGTACTGGCATGGGTGGTTTGTTGGAAGATGAGTGGGACATGTGCACATATGAAAAGAAAAAATGTTGTCCCAAGATTAAAATTTATTTTTTTAAAGATTTATTTATTTATTTATACAAGCACTGGGCATAGTCAGAAGCGCGGGACGGTGAGAGAATCCACCAGAGCAGAGCAGAGAACAGAACAGGCAGACTGATGAAATACATTGCTGAGGGGAGCAGCAGGCGACAGGAGAGGTCCGTGCGCCATGTGGGACCCTCGCTGGTGGCCAGGGATCGAATACTGCAGAGGCTGCGGGCAGCTTCGCAACCCAGCGCTCAACCACTGTGCCATCAGGGAAGCCCCCAAGATTAAAATTTAAAAAAAAAAAACTAGGGCCTTCTCTCAGTTCCATGCACATTGCACTACACACTGCCCATTAAGCATGACCACATGGACTCACAAACAACTTAATTTTGAATAAAGGCTTAAAAAGCCTCAGTCTCGCTGCCTTGAGTCCTCTAGGCAGGAATGATAGAGCTTCTTCATTCCCTGCTGCACAAACCACCATCCTGAGGTCTTGGTATTTACTTGGATAAGCAGTAATCTCCCCCAGAATGGCAGTGAGCCTCTGAGGGTCACCTGACTGATAACATTTGCAGTTGCTATGATACTTTGGCTCCTAATTTGCCATCATTTGTTACATGGAGTTTCAGGAATTCCCTGTAAAGCTGAAGACAGGGAGCCAGGCTGGCTTGAGCAGGCACTGCCAATACCAGACCAATTATAAGCTCGTCCCCATGGACATCTGAGTTGGGGTCCTCAGCAAGCTTCCCCCACACTTTCCCTACTGGATCATTTCTCCTTGAGCCACAAAGGGAAAAGGATGCTAACAGCAACTGGGGAGCCAGGCCAGTCGCCCCAGTTGGATTGGAATGAACAGGGAGGCAGACCAGAAGCACTCATTAAGGATCGTGTAACATTTAACATCAGTAGCCAAAAAGCAGACACCATGGGGTGTCATGGAAAAGAACCCTCAATTTGGAGCTCAGAGTCCTGAATTTGAATGCAGGTCTACAAAGAATAGCTGGCTTCCTTGGGTACTTTGGCTTTCTCACTAAAAAGAGGACATGGGATAAATACAGCACACAGGTGCACTTCGGTAGTGCCTGATGCGTGATGGGCTTCATATAAATACCTGGTTTTCCTTTGGTCCTGTCTACAGGTGTACCCAGGCTAAGGGTTTGGCCATCAGCTCTCAGAGCACTGGGAATGAAAAGCCAGGAAAATCTTCACAACAGACGAAGGCAAAGGAGGGAAAAGACAAGGACAGAAGTCAAGTGAAGGGGCCAAGCAGAACACACCTAGGGCCCCCCCCCAGGTCTCCAGCGGGTACGGATGGCTCATTCTGCTTTCTCTCTTCCACTAGGTCCTGGACAGCCCCTTTGAAGAAAAGCGTTTTCAGTTAAGAGAATAACTGCCATCTCCACTAAAATTTGGTGGTGATCACGAGTACTATATGCAGATGTCAAATTATAATGCCGTGCACCTGTAACTCACATAATGTTGCAAACCAATGTTACTCCAATTAAAAAATTTAATTTAAAAAGAAAAAATTAGAAAGAAATTGCTGGCAGACACAATATAAAGCCACGTGTGGAAAGTTGATGGGAAAGCGGCAAGGGACAGGGGTGGGCGGCGCAGGGCCTGCTCATTTCTGCTCTTAGCTTCTTCGACTCCCTATCAGGTGCAGTCTCTATAGAGGCCTCCTCGGCTATGTCTGCCTCTGCAAATGGCCTCAGAAAGCAGGAGGGGTGGGTTCTAGGGGCAGGTGGCTGGCAGGAGAAACACCCTGATCTCACCCCCCAGTTCTGGTCAACCACACCTGTCCCAATCATGTAAACTG